CCTATCTTAGCCTTCGTAAGAACTGAAGAGAATTAAGTAAGGTCTTACTCTAGATTAGGCTTTGGTTTAATGGAATGTTGTGGCTGGTTTGACCTTCTATCTAGATCACTAAAACTTTTTCCATATTGGCAATAAAGCTTGTTTCACTTTCTTATCATTCATAATGTTCATTCAAGTAGTACTTCTAATTTCCTTCAAAAACTTTTCCTTTCCATTCACAACTTGGCTAGCTGTTTGGTACAAGAGGCCTAGCTTTTGGCCTATCTCAGCTTTTGATATGCCTTGCTTTCTAAGCGTAATCATGTCTAATTTTTGACTGAAATAGAGACATGCAACTCTCCACCTCACTTGACCCCTTAGAGGTCATTGTAAGGTTATTAATTTGTCTAATTTCAATACTATTGTGTCTGAGAAAACAAAGAGGCCCAATGAGAGGGAGAGACTCAGGGGAACAGCAGTCAGAATACACACAACATTCATCAGTTAAGTTCCCCGTCTTATATGGGCATAGTTCATGGTACCTCAAAACAATTAACAGTAAAATCAAAGATCACTGAGCACAGATCACCATAACAGATACAATAATAATGAAAATGGTTGAAATATTGCAAGAACTACCAAAATGGGGCAGAGATACAAAGTGAGCACATTTTTGGAAAATGGCCCCGATAGACTTGCTCAATGCAGAGTTGCCACAAACCTTCAATTTGTAAAAAAAAAAAAAAACAAAAAAAAAAACCAGTATCTGTGAAGCCCAATAAAGTGCAGTAAAACAACATAGGCATGGATTTTTAAATGGTCAAACCAGCAAACCTTATGTTATATATATTTTACCATAATTTTAAAAAGTTGATTTAACTAGCATACACTTAGGGAAACCCAGTATCTGCAAATAAGGAATTTGAGAGTTTTTGATTAATTTTGTTAATGTTAAATTCACTTGCCAAAGATGAGAGCCCACTATGTAACTGAAAGGTTGGAGTGCCCAGTTATCTTTTAGGAGATTCTACACATGAGCTTTACAAATAAGATTAACAGTATGACAATTATAAATTTTCTTTTTTTTTTTTTTTCTTTTTGAGATGGGGTCTCACTCTGTCACCCAGGTTGGAGTGCAGTGGCACGATCTCAGCTCACGGCAACCTCCACCTCCCGGGTTTAAGCAATTCTCCTCTATCAGCCTCCCGAGTAGCTGGGACTACAGGCGCCCACCACCAAACCTGGCTAATTTTTGTATATTTAGTAGAGATGGGGTTTCACCATATTGGTCAGGCTGGTCTCGAACTCCTGGCCTCAGGTGATCCACCCATCTCAGCCTCCTAAAGTGCTGGGACTACAGGCGTGAGCCACCACACCCAGACCTAAATTTTCTTTTTATTTGTACCCTTAACATTCCCAATTTGGGGGACGTTTATAAAAAGGCAGAGAGCATAGGGTTTATATTTTAATTCATTTGCTAGGTCACAGCAATTTGCTGAAAAGACTTACTGAACTGCATCCACAGATCAAGGAGCTCCCAATGGCTTGCATGATAGCATAGTTTTACTAACATGACAAAATGTCTGAACCCACTGAACCTAAAAGTGCAGTGGAAATAAAGGGTGCTGTAGGAATGCTCAAGGAAATAAACTTCTACAAATTTAAATGTGACATGTGGATGAAGCAGAAAGCAAGTGGACACCATATTCATTTTCCAAACTATAAGCCCTAAGCTCAGCAAAGTTACAGACTGTGAATAACTGCAGAGTTTCACAGAACTCTTTGGTTAAAAAGTCAATTTTAGGCTGGGTGCAGTGGCTCATGCCTGTAATCCCAGCACTTTGGGAGGCCAAGGCGGGTGGATCACCTGAGGTAAGGAGTTCGAGACCAGCCTGACCAATATGGTGAAACCCCATCTTTACTAAATATACAAAAATTACCCAGACGTGGTGGCGTGCACTTGCAGTCCCAGCTACTTGGGAGGCTGAGACAGGAGAATTGCTTGTACCTGGGAGGCGGAGGTTGCAGTGAGCTGAGATCAGGCCACTGCACTCCAACCTAGGCAACAGAGTGAGACTCCATCCCAAAAAAAGAAAGAAAAAAAAAGTCAATTTCAGAAAAGATTCATTACTTTCGATGAGTACGCAGTCTACATTTTCATTTCTGTAGCTGGCACTAAAGTATAAACACCAAGGTAATTCAAATCCCAATCGTCTGCTCTAACAGTAGGATTCCATTTCAAGATTATCAGAACAGAAAATAAACTGAGCCCACCAACAATACCTGGAATATTGGGAATCAATATACAAATCCAAAACCACCACAGAAAAGTATGTTTACTTAGTTCTTTAATAAACATTCTCTCAGGGCCAGGCGCCTTGGCTCATGCCTGTACTCCCAGCACTTTGGGAGGCCGGCAGATCACTTGAGGTCAGGAGTTCGAGATCAGCATGGCCAACAAAGAAAAACCCCGTCTCCACCAAAAACACAAAAAATTAGCCAGGCATAGTGGCGTGTGCCTGTATTCTCACCTACTCAGGAGGCTGAGGCAAGAGAATCGCTGGAACCCGGGAGGTGGAGGTTTCAGTGAGCCAAGATCGTGCCCCTGCACTCCATCCAGCCTGGGAGACAGAGAGAGACTTCATCTCAAAAAATAAAAATAAAAAACATTATCTCGGGCCAGGTGTGGTGGCTCACACCCATAATCCCAGCATTTTGGGAGGCTGAGGTATGCAGATCACTTGAGGACAGGAGTTTGAGACCAGCCTGGCCAACATGGTGAAACCCCATCTCTACTAAAAGTACAAAAATTAGTCAGACATGGTGGTGCACGCCTGTAGTCCAGCTCCTCGGGAGGCTGAGACATGAGAATCACTTGAACCCGGGAGGCAGAGGTTGAAGTGAGCCAAGATTGCACCACTGCACTCCAGCCTGGGCAACACAGCGAGATTCTATCTCAGGAAAAAAAAAAAAAAAAGAAGAAGAAGAAAAGAGAAAAAACAAAAAACATTCTTCAAAAAATGTTGAGACCAGGAGTAACGTAAATCTGAAGTCTAAATCGAGATGTACCTTACCTGATTTTCAACAATCAGTATAAAAAATCTTTTAAATCTTTAAATGTTTTTCTTTCTTCACTATCAATAAAGCTGTAACTGTTTTGCTCATTCATTCCTTTGCAAATATTCCTTGGGCAATTTATTCTCCATATAGTATTAAGTCCTGGGCATAGAAATACAGCAATAGACAAGCCAGACACAATCCCTATCTTCATGGTTCTTACTGTCTAGTGACTGTAAGAAATCATAAATAAATAACTACACAAATACTTAATTATAATTGTGGTAATTACTATGAAAGAAACTACACCAAACTAAGATGCAGTCTTCAACCGGCAGTATGACCTTAGACCTCCGCTTCTTCATCTGTAAATCTAAGGGGTAGATCTAAATGATTTCTTCTTGTTTTTCCTTTTTTTGAGACAGGTTCTCACTCTATTGCCCAGGCTGGTATGCCGTGGTATGATCACCGCTCACTGCACCTTGACCTCCCAGGCTCAAGTGATTCTCCTGCCTCAGCCTCCCAAGTAGCTGGTACTACAATTGTGCACCAGCATGCCTGGCTAATTTTTGTATTTTTTGCAGAGATGAGGTTTCACACCATGTTGCCCAGGGTGATACTGAACTCCTGGGTTCAAAAGCCATCCACTCGTCTCCGCGTCCCAAAGTGCTGGGACTATAGGCGTGAGCCACCCTGCCCAGCCCTGAATGATTTCTTGAGATCCCTTTATATTAAACAATTTTACAAACCTAGAAGTATGAAACTTTGCTTCCAGAGTCCCTTTGTCAGGATATTTACATTTGTAGGATCAGCAAAGTAACACAGTCCCCATCTCCCAATACATGAAAGTTTTTCTGGCACAAAAACATAAGCTTAGATGGTCACTAATCTTTGCTGTTACAAATTTTTAAGACCAAATTCCATATATTAAATATATTATGATGTTGTAAACCAAGCTTGTCCAACCTGCAGCCCATGGGCCTCATGAGGCCCAGGATGGTTTTGAACGCAGCCCAACACAAATTCGTAAACTTTCTTAAAACATTATGAATTTTTTGCAATTTTTTTAAGCTCATTAGTGTTAGTATATTTTATGTGTGGCCTAATACAATTCGTCTTCCAATGTGGCCCAGGGAAGACAAAAGATTGGACACCCCTGTTGTAAACTAACTTATAAAGAATAAGTGGGGAAAAAAGTATGTTCATAAATTATCTGTATGTATCAGAATTACTTTGATAGCTATTTAAAATGCACAATCCCAGGCCCCAACAAAGACCTACTATAGAATACCTGGAGGTCAGGCTTGGAATCTGCTCTTTTTGATAAGTTTCTCAAGTTAATTCTAATATACACTAATGTTTGTTCTACTCAAAGCAGAACAAATAATATTAGAAGAAGTAGCTTCAGAGAAAAACACTTCAGGATAAGAACTACAGTAAGCTTACCTGTGTAGCTTTGTCCCTCATGCAAGGTGCAGCTTGCCCATGGCTATCACGAGGCCAGTGCCCGGCAAGATACGGTGCAGCAAGAGTATCCAGGGAGGAAGTGCGTCGGATAATACTGGAGGGGCTTGAAGAAGGCTGTCGTGTTTTGTCACCTAGATTTAAGACAAAAATGCTTGTTTTAATAAAATTAGGAAAGAAACAAAGCAGAAACTAAGTTTTAAACTATGTAGAAAGTTCCCCAACTTAACGATGGTTATCCCCTTTAACCACAGGGGATACTTCCAAGACCCCCAGTAAAGATGCCTGAAACGGCAGATTGTACTCAATTCTATATACACTGGTTTTTCCTATATATACAAACCTATGATAAAGTTTAACTTGTAAGTTAGGCACACCATGAGATTAACAACAATAACTAATAATAAAATAGAACAAGTATAACAATAAGCCAGCATCACTGCTCTTGGGCTTTGGGGCCATTAAGAAAAACGAGAATTCCTCGAACATTAGCACTGCAAAACCATGCCAGTCAATCCAGCGACTGGGAGGGCTCCAAAGTGACTAGCAGGTAGGGAGCATAGACAACGTGCATAGGTTGGACAAAGGAATGATTCACGTTCCTGGTGGGGGAAGCGAGACAGCAAGACATTTCATCACCCTACTCAGAATGGCGTGAATTTATAACATATAAATTGTTTATTTCTTGAAATTTTCCACTTAATCTTTTCAGACCAAGGTTGACTAAAAGTAACTGAAACCATTAAAAAAAAAAAAGGATAAGGAAGGATTACTGTATATAAAAAGAAACAAAAAGGAACAAGCTACTGATACATGCAATAACTTGCATGACTCTCCAGAGAACTATACTGAGTGAAAACAGTTGACGCACCCTAGGCCTACCAAATCAAAATCTCTAGGGATTGGGCCCAGGAATTTTCTATAGAATCAATGTATCCCTCATATCCAACAAATTCTTACTTGGATTCTTCTTTTTGTTTATAAATTAAACCCTTGTTTGATACATTTCAGGGAAATATGAGGACATAATGAAAATAAGACAGGAAGGTAATTATCATGAGAAAACATAAAAATAAATCAGTGACAATCTTTCACTAAATATTGTCACTAAAAAATTAGTGACAATGTTATTTGATAATGACATCTAAAAGTAATTCCGGCACTTAGTGCTCATCATATTCCTCAATCTTCACAGAGGATGAAGTAATAACACATCTGCTTCAAAACAACTTAGTACCAGCCCAAAAGACAAAGACAAATTAACACCTTGCTAATGGATCCCTTGCTTTTGAGAGTATCCTAAGGGATGCATAAACCAAATCAACTGCCAAGAACCAACCACCAGCTTTGTAACAGGGGTAGGTTTCATTTCTAAGCAAACAAAGTGGGTATTTGCCAATATAATCCAAGATATCCAATGTAAATTAAAATAGTAAAATAATACAGTGGCATTAAAGCATATTACTTAATAATGTAATATCAATATAATATTACTTATTAATGTTTCCTCACATTGATAAGGAATGTGAGGAAAGACACATATAAAAAAGTGGGTTTTGGCCAGGTATGGTGGCTCACGCCTATAATCCCAGCACTTTGCGAGGCTGAGGCAGGAGGATCACCTGAGGTCAGGAATTCAAGACCACCCTGGCCAACATGGCGAAACTCCGTCTCTACTAAAACTACAAAAATTAGCCAAGCGTGGTGGCGGACGCCTGTAATCCCAGCTACTCAGGAGGCTGAGACAGGAGAATCACCTGAACCCGGGAGGCAGAGACTGCAGTGAGCCAAGATCACACCACTGCACTCCAGCCTGGCAACAGAGTAAGACTTTATCTCAAAAAAATAAAAAAAAAAAAAGGGGGGGTTTTGCAATAACATCTGTTTTCACTGTACAGGAAATAGTTTTTACTACATCAGAAAATTAAAACATTGTAAACATCAGATTTCTAGTTAATAATACAATAGCTAATTTAATATTTTTTATTTATAAAAGCTTAAATTCTTCAACAATGCAGGGCAAGTTTTGATACATCAAAATAAACTTTAAGTACCAACCAATACCTCATACATGATTTAATAATTGGAAAATAAATCTATGTATAATTTTCTGTGAGAATAATTCTAACTACCCTTACCCCACAGTTGCCAGTAAAAAAGGAAAATGTGTTCTCCTAAATAAATGGACCACAATAAAACTATGTTCAATGTGCACATTCCTTTAAGATTAAGCCCCCAAATCAAAGTGGCATTAAAAAAACTATTTCAAATAATAATCAAGTTTAAAATTGTATTTACAAAAAGAGCACATAACAATGAATTGCAGAAAACTAGAAACAACAAAATGTCCAAAATGAGAAGATGATTGGATACATTACGGCAGAGTCGTATGTAATATGTAATATGATAGGCCATTCATAGAATAAGCACATAGATACACAGGTCCTGGTCTAAAAAGTCATTCATGATAAAGTCAGTGAAAAAAGCAAGCCCTCACCATTTATAAAAGGTATGATCTCATATTTTGTTTTAAAAAGTAATTAGATGTGCATAAAAGTGTTAGTTTTTTGTTTTGTTTTGTTTTGTTTTGTTTTGACATAGAGTCTCGCTCTGTCTCACCCAGGCTGGAGTGCAGTGTGGCGATCTAGGCTCACTGCAACCTCCACCTCCCAGGTTCAGGTGATTCTCCTGCCTCAGTCTTCCAAGTAGCTAGGACTACAGGCGCCCGCCACCATGCCCAGCTAACGTTTGTATTTTTAGTAGAGACAGGGTTTCACCATGTTGGCCAGGCTGGTCTCGAACTCCTGATCTCAAGTGACTTGCCCCCTTTGGCCTCCCAAAGTGCTGGGATTACTGGCATGAGGCACCACACCCGGCCAGTGTTAGTACATTTATTTTTTAAACCTGGAAAAAGTATGCACCTAACCTTTTGGGGGACAAAATTAGTGTTTTAATTTCTAATTTAGGCATTTCTATAATGTTTGAATTTTTATATGGAGTATACTGTCAGAGAAAAGGTATTAAAACAATAGAAACACTTTTAAAACAAGTTATTAATTTCTGAAATCGTAAAATGCTTAAAAATACAAAAATACCCATATTAGATTTGGGGAATTTTTATGGTTTATATCTGTGGTTGGGAAAACTACAGCCTACAGGCCAAATCTGTCTTGCATCTGTTTTTTTGTATGGCTAGCGATCGAAAACAGGATTGTACATTTTTTACTGGTTGGGGGAAAAAATTAAAATATTTTGTAATACATAAAAGTTAAATCAAATTCAAACTTTAGTGTCCATAAGTAAAGTTTTATTGGAACACAAATATGATCATTCATTTACAGGTTGTCTATGGCTGCTTTTGTGCTTAAAAAAAAAAAAAAAAAAAAAAGGCAGCATTAAGCACACACAGCAAAGACCTTATATGGCCCTTTCATTGCTTCACACTGCTGCTCAGCACTACGAATCATAATGACAAAGTTATGCCATGTGTATCTCTCGTCTGGGTGAAAAGTCAAATTCAAAGATGATATGTAAAATTTCATATAGATCAGCATTAGCAGATGAACATTTGCAATTGATTTGATGATATGGAACACTTAACTTTTAACTAGAATTAAGTGAAATGTTACCCCTTTAAAAAGAATTCCCTCTTCTCATTAGAGCTGTATTACAAAAAAATGCATTCAATTATTATATTTTGAAATTTTGTCCTTTAAAAATTTGTGGAAAATTGTGTGCTCTCTTATTATATTAGTGCCTACATAATATCTTTGATTTTACCTCCTGACCTGTAAAGTCTAAAATTTTACTACATGGTACACTACAGAAAAAGTTTGCTGACCCCTGGTTTCTACTGCATGTCTTTATGTCTTGGTTTCTGTGCTACAACACCCTCATATATTTTATCTTTTGGCAGGGGAAGGGGATGAGCTTAGCTCATTGATGCTTAACTTTCATAGGGGCTTTACAAATATTTTTAAAATATATTCATAATATTATATTACAGTGTTATTCTATTCTGTAAGATGGCAAATATATGTATGAAAACACCTCTTGACACCTCTCTATATTACATTATTATCTTGGTAAGGGTCTTGCATAGCTACAAGTACAAAAGTTCAGGTGGTTTATGTGACCCACATAAGATTCAATTCCACTAATACAATAGTTACAGTAACTGTGTTGTTGCTGAAAATCATAAAAGCTGCTTCACAAATACGTCTGAGACACATAATTTGCTTTCAAAATGGCAGTTATTTCACTAATACCTAATTGTTATAAATGCTACCTATCTCTCCATGTTCAGTTTTCCTTTTGTAGTACATTTTCAGAAAACAAATGCAGTATATATTCATTTTCAGGAAAATATGTACCCACATTATTAACTGTGACAAGTGAAACGCAATAAATATACATGTTCACAATTTTTCCTCTAACTAAAAAAAAAAAAATCCCTTTTGGGATAGTCTCAAGAAAACTAGTCTCAGCTGGCAGGGTGGGAAGGCACACACACAATGTAAACTGGTATCTATTCATTATATCAAATGGCTAAAAGCTGTCTGACACTTTTCTTCCCTAACTATGACCATTGTTGCTTCAGTTGCCTACCAGTATGTTAATTCAACAGACCTTACTAATGGGTCTGATGTCATTTTTTTTTTTTAATTAAAAATCTAAGGGTTAACTTTTCAACCAGTCCTCCAAAGATTATTAAAATTATTGGATTATTATTATTTCTTTTTTAGGGGGAAAGAATCTCGCTCTGTCACCCAGGCTGGAGTGCAGGGGCATGATCTCAGCTCACGGCAACCCCCACCTCCCAAGTTCAAGCGCTTCTCCTGCCTCAGCCTCCCGAGTAGCTGGGATTACAGGCATGCATCACCAAAACACCTAGCTCATTTTTATACTTTTAGTAGAGACAGGGTTTCTCTATATTGGCCAGGCTGGTCTCCAACTCCTGACCTCAGGTGATCCGCCCACCTCGGCCTCCCAAAGCACTGGGATTACAGACCTGAGCCACCGCGCCCGGCCAGATTATTATTATTTTGATAACGAACTGGAGAACAGATGAGTTATATGTGTAAAAATACTGAACATTTTATCTTTGGAACTCCCTTCCTTTAATCCAT